AAAGCTGATGCAATTTTTTTCGTGTTCCTGTGCAGCCGGCCGTGGACGTCTAATTGACGTCGTCGCGATTTTCGGTTCTCCATGACAATCTGTGAAAATTTAAGGAGCTAGAGCTGTTCTCTCTAAAAGTAAGCCCCCAAAATGAGCTACTGTTGTTTAGTTTGAACGTTTAACTCTGCAGATTTGATATCAAGTGCCTTTGCCTTTCCTAGAAATGTTCTGTAATATGCAATATGCTTGCAGGGCAATTGTCACTTCCGGTTTTCCTTGAAACAGCTTACCTCCAGGAAGAAGCATTTCCCGGAAAACGTTCGATAGTTCTGATATAAATACGATTACGACATGGTATCAACGAAGCAAAGTTGGCAGGTTTTGAGAAAGAAACAACTCGCGATAATTTTCAAGCGATTAGCTAAAAGACAGCCATGCATAAAAAAAAATACGAGGTACAAACGATGGCGTGCTAACTAGTGGAGAACTGACTTCCATTCTACAGTGTACGAATCGATGTGTGCTGTTATTAACACAACAGTTTCGAGTTTAGACGCGACTATCAAAAAGTTGGAGAAAAGTGGATTTTATTGGGGCGCAATCAGTGCCTTAAAAGCGAAAGCTTTACTGCGAGACCAGCCTACTGGAAAATTTCTCGTCCGCGATAGTTCGGACGCGAGACATTTATTCACGATAACCTTGGTAACCGCGACCGGGATCACAAACGTTCGAATTGTTCTGTGCGAAGGACTTTACTCTCTGGATAAAAAAGACACTTACACGACAAAAAGGAACAGCGAGGAACTCCAGCATCGTTCTACTCCCAGATTTGACTGTGTGGTGAAAATGGTATTCTACTATATGCTCGTTACAAGAAAGCTCTTACAAGGGGATCCTTCGGAAACTTTGGAGAACACACGAACGGCGAAATTTCTCTTGTGGAGTCCACTTTATAAGGAAGTTTCAAGTTTACAGCACTTGTGCCGTAAAGCTTTGAACAACCAACTCCTCGCCAAAGGAATCAAAGATTTACCAGCTGTTCCAAACACAGTAAAGCTGTATTTATCACAATACCCATACCCAATTTAAAATAACGCAAATTTTACATCGTTATACGTGTTTCAAATGTCTAAATTTAACACCGTAGTTCTTGACCCTTCGCGAAAAACGAAGAAAGAGTTATAGGAAAGAATGTTCTGAGTGGCTTGTGTGAAGTATCGAGCGGCTTGTGTGAATTAATTTTGTTTATGATCTTTCATGAATAAATTACTGATTATAATAATAATTTTCCAGTGTATATAAGACAAAATCGTTCATTTTGTAAAAAGGTAACATCACATAGTCTGTGTGTTGTGTTCTAGGAATAGACAGGCTAGAATTAATGAAAAATCTCTCAAAGGCAACAATATTTTGAGCAGTAAAAATATGTATTTTATTCCAACTGTGTAGATATAATTTATATAAAAAGTTTTCCAGTAAGGTATATATATAAAACCAAGGACTGGCTGTTTCAATCGTTTCTTTCCATCGACGAAGAATTCAATTGGACTTCCGTCTCTTCTTGTTACAAGCTGTTTCGGTTTCACTTCCCTAAATTGGAATTTTATGCTTTGTTTTCGTCTCAGCTGAGTACTGACCCCGCAGCTTCCTAGAAAATGCCACCTGCTACCGGTTTCGTTTCTGTTCAAGCACACAAAAAAGTAATTATAGTTCGTAGAAATCTGCCTTGAAACGATGTGTTACTTACAAGAAACTTGGTGTAACAACTCAATGTAATTGTAAATAAAGATTAAGATGTAGAAGTATGCAGCCTACGTTTACAGAGAAAGGCCTTTACTGCACGAACTTGTTTTGACTGTTTTGGCAGAGTTGTAAGATGGTGTAAACTTAATTAATTGTTCATAAACAAAGGCCTGGGAAAGCTTCGCATGCCCAGACAAAACGGCAAGCTAAAACAAAGAAGAGGAAGTATCAGATAAGATATGACGAGCACTGTAGCTGCACTGAAGAACCAATCAACATGTTCAATGTACATAGAATTATGATTAGCATTCTACCCTTAACCAAATACGTAGGTCAGGTCTTGACGTAAAGGCCTGACAGAAAAAAAAGGGGGATCCTGTCGGCCTCTTTAATTGGAATTCGTCGATATTAGAAAATCGACAGGACGTTTATTACATTTTTCCTCCTTTGCGCAGAGAAAGCATATCATCACGCTAGACACGAATTGACTACAAACATTTGAACAGCTTGTGAAACTTAATAATTGGTGAAATTTTTTACTTTTTGGGTGTTAAATTGGCTTTCAAAAACTGGGAAATTTCTGGTTGGTAAAAGCACTAATGAACTCATACATTCTTTGTAAAATTTTAAGTTTTAAAACTCGCGTCGCTCAAAAAGTACTCAATACATCGAACTCAAATTCCTTGGGGTCGTGCTGTGCCCTTTCAATCTTCAGAACTAATATTTTTGTGGCTCTATCAGAAACTTTATCGCTTATGCTAATAATCGAGGCAAATACTGTAAACAAAGATAATTCTATACTCTTCGATGTCAAGTTATTTAGTTCGCAATCAGTCTTCATGTTGTTCGGTCAGACTTGCGTCAAAATATGAACTACTACCCTTTATAGAATCTTATTTCTAAAACAATAGAAGTAGACAGAAGATAGCATGTAAGCAGACTAAGCAGTAGTAAACAACGATCGTGCGAATTTTGATGCTAGCTTATCTAGGAGCTCATTGAACTGAGATAAGCCCATTGTTTTGGACCCGTCACCTGATCATATCAGTTTTCTCAAGAGACTGTGATCTAAGAGAACACATTCCTGTGCCCCATGACAATATTTTCAATCTATTTTAAGCTTCGTGTCAAGCCGAGAACGTTATTTATAGTCTTGGTCCCATGATTGCGCAGCCAAAATTGAACTGAAAATCAATCGGGTTAAGAGAAAAGATGATCAGTTTGTTTTGCACTACATACTATATAAAAGTCATTTTCAAAGCGCTGGACAGGAAAATTATCTTCTACGTGCTCTTCGAAGTTAACTTCGAAAATAGAAGTCGTGTCACTCCCTGGAGACTTCTATTTTAACCCGCTCGAAAGTCGTTTCTCGAAAAGTTCTGAATAGATTGAAGCGAAAAACATCTCCTTCGAAAGGTTTTTCAAAGCGCAGGACAGCTAAAATATTTGTTTGCCGTTTGTTAAAAATTTGGCTTCGAAAGTGTTGTACATTGAATTAGAGTTTGCATGTCCAAGGCGAAAAAACTGGAACTACCGCGGAACTACCGAACCGTTTGGATCAAGAGAGGTCTCTTTGGAAAGCATTTTCTAAGCGCTGGACAGGAAAATTATCTTCGATGTGCTTATCCACAGTTTTCTTGAGGCGCCATGGCTGCTGCATAGTAAAGTTGTTTCTTCAGAAAAGTTGCTTCGATTCTCGAAAAGTACTGAAAGGATTAAAGCGAAAAAGATCTCTTTGGAAAGCTCTTTCAAAGCGCCGGGCAGTTAGAATTTTTCCCTCCCCTTTTGTTACGAATTGCGCTTAAAAAATCCAGGTGCAAGCTTTTTGCATATTTAAGGTGGCTGGTAATAGTTTCCAGCTCTTTCTAACAGCAATGCTTTGACGTGTCTATATCAAGTGAATTACTGCAATAAGACCCAGTAAGGATATCACATAAACGTCCAGTTATTGGCGAACAAATTGTGGTCCCCTTTATGACATAATAGCTTACCATAGCGACAATACGATCTATTAAAAAATCCCTTAATTTTGCCACCTTCAATTTTTCGAAAATTCAAGGTGCCTCTAAACTCTAACAATAGAATTTTTTTTAACTTTGCAGAAAGTTGTAGCTTATCATGCTTATCACGATTCAATAATAAAAAAGGTTTCACCGAGCTTTTTTTGAATTACAAGCTCTTAAAGCTAAAGTTAAGGATGTTTTTAAGAGGCCGTAAAAAGATTGGGCATTTATTTGACACCATTATTGTAACAGTCCTTAAAATAAAGAGTGGTAGTATTGACCCGTCAAAGTAGGACTGCTAGAAAGAGCTAGAAATTGTTAAGAAAAGCAATGCCATCAGTTTACTTGCGTCCAGTACTCACAGAAACCGGGTGTCACTGTATTTAAAAATGATGTTAATTTTAAAAATGAAATAACACAGTCTTCAACACTGAATAAAGTTCTTTCCTCAATGACTTTGACAGGAAATTTACTACAGTCAAACCTGTATTAAGCGGACACCCTCTATTAAGCGGACAGCAGTGCAAGTCACATTTTCCTTTTTCCACATTCACTGTAAAAAATACCTGTATTCAACGGACACCTCTATTAAGCGGACGCGGACACCGTGCTTAAACTTGACTTTTATGGTCATTTCTATTGTCAGAAACCTGTATCCAACGGACACTGCAAAAAGAATGATGATTTTTCTGTCAACATTTTAGTAGATCGGTCATTTTTAAAAGTTTGCCAACAAACTGAGCTGCCACAGAAATGCAATATTTTGTTATTCGGTTTTGTTTTTAGAGAACTTTTGTTTTTGTTTGATTTGGACTTGCCATACTGTTTATGGAAATACGATATTTCAGAGTTATCGATCGTTCACGAGAATGCTATTTGTCTGTTTCAAGGTCTTTTAATACTGATCAATGTTGACATGACCCTTTTAAGACGAATTCTGAGGGAACCTGTTTTCAGCGGACATCCTGTATTAAGCGGACACCAGCAAGGGCCGCCTAATACAGGTTTGACTGTATATCATTGAACTCTGATTTCCAGATTACTCCAAGTTCCTAATTTTATACGTCAAAATCGTTATAATTTTGATTTTCTTTCAACAGGCACAAAAATATTAACCCACGTCATTTTTTATATATAGTTTCTTGATCTTAGCCTGTGATTCGGACCACATGACTACCTAAGCCTCAGCGTCGTCTGTAGGGCCAGCGATCTTTTTGGTCAGTACCAACTGGGAAGACCTAGGCAGTCTTGACCAGTCTTGAAGTCCTGATAATGATCTACTATTCCTGCTTTGTAAGATAGAAAACTGTCAAGAACATTCAAGCATTTTGTTACTGTACGTGTAAAGATATTGTGAAGACCTCTAAACTTCTAAGATCATGGTTCTTCTATTTTATACTCTATGTCAGTGCTATGTTGAAAGCATTTAAGTTTTGGATCTTCCTAGGCAATCTTCCAGCATTTAACTCCGCCTACCAGACAACCTTAAAAATTTTTACATCATTTTTACTCGTTTGGCTCGTTTACTTCTTTGTCATCCACTGCCGAGCTAAACGAACCACGAAATATATAGACCTAAGACCACGACAACAGCAACAACAACAACAAAACTTTATTTCTTTTTCAATAATTTACATGAGTTTTAGGTTAATGAGTTGCGTTACGTCTAGACTTTATTATTAAAACTAATTAAGTTAGAAACTTAAAAATAATGACAGATGAACCCGCAGGTAGTCTTGGCTAATCTAGGCGAGCCACAGCTAAGACTTAACGCATATATAGATTTTTCCTCGTTCTTTCATCCACTGCCGAACTAGACGAGCCAAACAAGCCACTAAAGTTATGCACCTTCAAAATGGGACCCTGTATTGCGTAGTTGCTCTTTTTTGGAAAAAGCAGTCAGTAATAAAACGTCTTACTTTTGAAATAAAGTTTCGAGATATGAAATGAAATGGTTCTTGTTGCTCGGCACTTTGTTTAGTTAGCTTTTCTGAATAAGATTTACTTTACAGTAATCTGCAGAAGCCGCCTTCTGCATGAAATTCAATTGCCCATCTAATATCAAAAGAAATAATGGGAATATCACTCCTTTGCAGATCGTTCAAGGTTACAGTGGTTCCAGGGATCGCACGCGGGATCACGCGCAATTGGCCAGGAACATTGTGACCGAGTGAGCTTGGGGTCAAGAGGTAGAACAAAGATGGCGGAAGATTTGCAGAGGCTGCTCTGAGAATGTTCGCCTCTTGTCGAGAAATAACCGAACTCTCGAAGACTTATGCTTAACAGCAGGTAAAGCATTCAGATAATATGCAGTATGTTAAAACTTGCATTCAACTTACTGAAAGGAGAACCGACCTGTTTGACCTGCAGGTTAAGGTTGCAGAGTTCAGATCAGATGAGAAGAAGGCAGAAGAAGATGAAAATGTGGCAAGAGCAAGTGGTGAGTAAATTATTCATCTTAAAATCTTGTGTAGCAATTTAGTAATAATAAATTCTTAAAACACTGAATAATGCATAACGTTGCATAAGCTCTAGCGGACGTCTTTGCCATCAAGGTGTTCATGCATGCATGACATATAAACATAGAGAACTTAATAGATGTAAAACTCAATAATAAGTTCGCATTATGTTATAATTTACATAGTGCATTTGCTATATAAACAATAGCCTCCATTTGGCGCAAAAATATGCCTGGATATTTGTTCGCAAACAGTTTCCTAAGAGTGACGCTCAAAGAAAACTGTTAGCTTCGAGGAACAGATAATGTCCAGGGACACTAAAGTCCAGGAAAATTTTTAAAGTCAAATGGGGGCTTTTTTTATTATTATTACCCAGTCAGTACAAATTGTAGATTGCAGACTGCAGACCGGGTACAAAATGCAGACTGCATACTGCAGACTGCAGACTAGATATAAGATGTAGACTGAGAATAAAGACTTTTTGTTGTCAAATACTTGATAACATATCAGTTTATAACTTACCAAGTGTCACGCAATCACTTTCCGCGGTCATTATCCTTGGCCTGTTTCTTCATATACTTTGTTTTTAAACAGTTTTAGCATCAAGGTTGTGTTAGTTTTTAAATCTAATTTGAAGCTGTCATAGTCTTCTCACACTGCGCACGAGGTCAGTAGTTAACCCAAATAAAGTGTAATCTTCAAGAAACAATGATCGATCAGTGTTCATTTTGTAGCTAAATGCAGACTTATAGCCTGTGAGCAGGCTCTTCACGGGGGTCAAGAAATTAGGAAATTAAAAAGGGAAGAAGACTTACACTGTAAAGCCAAACTGTTCCTTCATCTTGATACGTGTTCAGTGTTTTAAGGGTGAACACACACTGATTGTTACATATTATTTAATGATTGTGTAGCTTACTAGTTGCCAAACAGCGACAAGAAAAGTTAATAAATGACCAGTCACGAAAATGGCACTTTGCTTTTTCCCATAAGAATTCACCGATTGCACATTGCACGTGTAGGAAACTTTGACATTCTTCAATATTCTTTAATTTGTTGCAAGACTCTTAATCACTCGTTCTTAGATAATGCTTCCATCATATTTATATGTGTTGTTATTTGATACTAAAATCTTGTGCATGAAATGTGAAGAGTAATGACGGCTTTTTAGAAATTATATTTAAGAGAGAATATGGCTGAGAATAATCCCCAATCTGGAAGATGACCGCAGAAAACACTTGGCAAGTTATAAAATGACTTGTTACAGCATGTTAACTACTTATTAAAATTAATTAACTGACAGTGAGGTCTTTACGGGAAAATCTCAAACTGAGACCGTACTGTATTGGCAAGACCGAGGTTTGAGATTATCTCATAAAGACCAAACATTCAAGGTCAATTAAAGTTGTTTATTATATGGCTTTTTGTTTTGGTTTTGCGGGCCTGTTTATAATCGGGCCATGGGAATTACGGGAGAACAATGCCCTACAATTGGCCAATCAGAGAGTGCGTTATATCAGCTACAAACACAAGCCATATAATAATATCAATTAGTATCACCCAACTAGTGGACTAATGCAAATCCTGCATTTTAATTGGTTATGCTACTAGAGGACTATTAGTAATAGTCCTCGAGTAGCAAAATTTGCACAATCAAGCGTGATGCTTTCTTTCGTTTTATTCGCCTCATGGGCTATTGACCCGTGGCCCTTGAGGGCTAAGGGTCTAATTTTTAATTATCAGATGAAAACAACAGTCTCTATTCTCAGTCTGCATCTTGTACCTAGTCTGCAGTCTGCATTTTGTACCCAGTCTGCAGTCTGCAGTCTGCATTTTGTACTGACCAGTTTATTATCCTTCAAATATTTAGGAGAAAATCGGGAATATTCCCCAGTTTTATATGGCGAAATATTGAATCGCTAGGCACATTTAGACCTGTCATGTGCAAGCAAAAATATATGATGGAATGTAAGCACCAATATTTTCAAAAGTCTGTGGCAGTTATGACCTAAATCATTGTTCTTGAACAGCTATTGTTTTTTTATTGATAGAGGACATAATTTTTTTCAATTATTTTTAACTAATAGTAATTAGTTTCCAACTTACTAAGTATTAACATTTGCCCTGGTCTCAAAATTCCAAAGTCTTGCTTGTGTGTATTTCTTTCTGTCGGGGAGTCTCAGAGGCTGTAGAAAGGTCTAAATGTACATTTATAATTCAGTTACTAGCTAGCATTTACATATGACTACAAATATAAATTGGTTTGAATAAAAAAATATATTAAGTTACTGTGGGATATGAAATCCAATTTCAAGCTACCAAAAGAACTTGATTATCGATAGGTCTCAGGCTCAGATTTTCTTAAATTGTTTACATGTATACTTTAAAATTTATTTATTTATTTAAGATGCAGACTAGATGTAGAAGTAAAAACTAAAAGTTAAGAAAAATAGATGCACTTAGAACAGCAAGTTTTTAAGAGGCTAAATATCCCTACATCAAAACTCCCTTAAAAATTCAAGTACAAGTTGAACATGGATTTGAATCTCAAGGTTATCAGGTCAAGATCAAGGTCCTGGGCATGTTTCTTAAAGGTCCCAAAAAAACTGCAGCAGAATCTCAAACCTAATATGACTACAGAGCTGTTTTATTCACATATTCTTAGAATGAACAGAGGTTCCCTTCACACAAGAAGTTTCAGGGGTATACACCTCTCTGTTTTAAGATACAGATGAACTAAAAATCACTTTGCAGGCCCGAAAAGTTTCTGGGGCTTTCAAGAAACAGGCCCCAGGTCTCAGTGTATAAACAATGACAGTTTCTGTGTCTGATGGGCCCACTCCCTGATTTTACCATCACCATTTCCAGTATTTTACACTTGCAATTGACTACCCAGAGCTACTTAGACTTAATTTTAGCTTTGCTCTGTTTGCAGTTCCCTCTTTTACTATAAGTTTGTCTCATCATTATCATCTCACAGATTTTACATACTGGNATGAAATCCAATTTCAAGCTACCAAAAGAACTTGATTATCGATAGGTCTCAGGCTCAGATTTTCTTAAATTGTTTACATGTATACTTTAAAATTTATTTATTTATTTAAGATGCAGACTAGATGTAGAAGTAAAAACTAAAAGTTAAGAAAAATAGATGCACTTAGAACAGCAAGTTTTTAAGAGGCTAAATATCCCTACATCAAAACTCCCTTAAAAATTCAAGTACAAGTTGAACATGGGTTTGAATCTGAAGGTTATCAGGTCAAGATTAAGGTCCTGGGGCATGTTTCTTAAAGGTCCCAAAAAACTGCAACAGAATCTCAAACCTAATATGACTACAGAGCTGTTTTATGCACATATTCTTAGTATGAACAGAGGCTCTCTTCATACAAGAAGTTTCAGGCGTATACACCTCTCTGTTTTTAGATACAGATGAACTAAAAATCACTTTGCAGGCCTGAAAAGCTTCTGGGGCTTTCAAGAAACAGGCCCTAGGTCTCAGTGTATAAACAATAACAGTTTCTGTGTCTGATGGGCCCAGTCCCAGATTTTACCATCAGCATTTCCAGTATTTTACACTTACAATTGACCTATTGAATTATTACCCAGAGCTACTTAGACTTAATTTTAGCTTTGTTCTGTTTGCAGTTCCCTCTTTTACTATAAGTTTGTCTCATCATTATCATCTCACAGATTTTACATACCGGTACACTGTATTAGGACACAGACACATCTCCACAAAGAGATCAAACCTAGCCAAGCTTTAGACAGACAATGGTGAGTTAGCATTTAATTTATCCTTTTACAGTATTAGCTTGCCACAGTTATAGTGATATAGCATGTTACACTTGTTGATCAACGGAAAAGTGCTCACAAGCATAGTTTGATATCAGTTAGCTGATGAGGTATTCCTTTAGGCATAGTAAGGTCAACTTCTGAAGAAAATGAAATATTGTGAAATAAGTTACGTGCAGTGTATATGTAATCATGTAAGATCTAGGGGATGATTCTTGTAAAAACCTGTATAGGTTTACTGTATTTTCCACACCAAACCAAAATGAAATGAATTGCCATGCTGCACTGTTGCACCACACTAAGCCACACCTTGCCACGTAATGCAATGCAATGTAATGCAACAAAACAAAACGCGACACAGTACAACTTGGTTCAGTTGGTTCATTTAGCTGGCTCACTCAATTCATTTGGTTCACTTGGTTAACCTGGCTGGTTCACTTGGCTTGTTTACTTTGTTCACCTGATTCACTTGCCTAGTTCACCTGGTTCATCTGGTTCACTTGGCTGGTTTCACTTGGTTCAGTTGGCGGTTCCCCTGGTTCACCTGGTTCACTTGGCTGGTTCAATTGGTTCACCTGGTTTACTAAAGAAGCCAAGTGCATCAGGTTAACCAAATTAACCAGCCAAGTGAACCAGGTTAACCAAGGAGGCAATGGAGGGTGTAAAGAAGACTCAATTTGAGCTTGTCCTTAGGGCTAGCTGTAACTATGATGTACTAACACTAAAGTCATTCCCACTAGCACGCTCAAAATGTTTTAATAGGTAGGTAAGGTAAAATCTGCATACGAGCCAAGTGGCTCCTTAGGCTGGAGCTTATCTTGGTTTCAGTAGCATGAAGTGACCAGGAGTATTTCTACTCCACCCTGGATGGGATGTTAGTCCATGGCAGGGTTACCCCCAAGCATTAAATTCGCCGGTACCCATTTATACATCTGGGTGGAGTGAGGCACTGTGAGAGTAAAGTGTCTTGCCCAANTGAAGCTTATCTTGGTTTCAGTAGCATGAAGTGACCAGGAGTATTTCTACTCCACCCTGGATGGGATGCTAGTCCATGGCAGGGTTACCCCCAAGCATTAAATTCGCCGGTACCCATTTATAAATCTGGGTGGAGTGAGGCACTGTGAGAGTAAAGTGTCTTGCCCAAGAACACAACACAATGTCCCCAGGGAGGGCTCAAACTCAGAATGCTCGCTCTGGAGTGGAGCACACTAACCATGAGGCCACCACGCCTCCTTCCAAAATGTTTTTAATAGCGTGTTAAATTTATGGTAAGTTCAATTAACAGGATCAGGTCATCTCTTAAAGTGCACCTAACCCCAAAAATTTTTTTTCGCTAGAACGAATCTACTTATTATTTGAAATAGTTCTAAACTTAAATATAACAACAGCACGAACCCGCAGGTAGCCTAGGCTAATCTAGGTGGGCCACATCTATATTTATATTATACCATTAAGATACAATAAGCTTGCTATTCAACTACTCAGACAAAGATTTACGAAAATGTTTATTACAAGCCTTACAAACTATTTTTTCATGTCAGGAATAAAGGTCCTTGAAAATAAAACACATAGTCATAGGTCTTCTTAAAATAGGCCAGTCATAAAATTTGACCCTACCCCATTAACACGGCCACCCCTTCATTATGGTCAAATTTTCATGGCCCGTTGGTGACCATATTAACATGGTTCCACTGTATTAAGAACTTAATGCCGGATGGCAAGCTGTCCAGCATAATCCAATAAAAACACAGTTTGAAAAATAATTAAGTGTAACCTGTTATGTCTGTGGCAAGGCTTGAACATACATATTACCTTACATATTAAGCCACTCCCGTATGTAGTCCATATATTAGTTATAATAAATATGGTTAAAGTAGACCTAAGGCTTTGTGATTTATCTTCAAGGACCTTTATTCCTGACACGAAGACACATCATCACAAGAAAGACAACAAACCAAAAGGAGGATAAAACCATGCTTTACACAGATATGGTGAGTCTACATTAAATAAATTCTTCACCCTGGCAATTTAAGTGATATAAAATTGTTACGTATTTAACCATGGTTATGATTTAACCAATTAACCCAAAATTGCCATCACTTATACTCAAGTTCTGCAGAAGGAAAAGATCTTTCCAATGACACCCAGATCAAAGTGACTGGGTCAATTGAGCCTGAAATATGCACGAAAATGCTCAGAAATTTGAGTCAAAAACTCGGAGCAAAATTTCTCTCAACTACACTTGACTACTCCGCGGTAAGAATTTTCCGTCTCGATGATGTTTTCTCGGAAATTCTTGAACTGGAAGCAAGCCCAGAAGAAGGACAACCACTGCAGCGAAAAAAAACCCAAAAGATTAAAAGGAAAGGCCAAAAAAATATATATATAT